TATACTATATATTTACGAATATGTTTTTAATATTTTATTAGGTGCGTATTGATGAGAAGAGTGAGCACTCCAAATTTCATGTGAGTGGGATTTGTAGACAAAAAAAATTAAAATTATAATATGAAATGCAGTCGTGTCTATCAGATCAGCCCATATTGAATCTAGGTCGTTGGGCACATACTATTACATCAGCTAGTGGGCTAGCTTTTCCCTATATATATGTGTGTATTTTTTCTATAAGTTGCCAACCTTAAACAATCAAATTAAGACATGCCTCCACATGCAGTTGTGGTACTGGAATTCGCTACGAGTACCTGAAATTCTATTTCTAGCCTTAGTTACGAAATTATTATGAAATTCAAAGCTAGAAAATGGTGTTGATCAAACAAATTCGTAAATGGTTGAGAATCTTGAACGGTTTAGATAATATATTGTAAGATGCTTTACTTTTAAGAATCGAAATCTTTTTTTTTTTTTCATATCCATATATTTTCATTACATCTCAAGGACTAGATAATTAATTGGAGCCCTGTGGGTTTTTGAGATGCTCCTTATGTCTATAGTAGAAGATTGGCACGTTATATAAAGTCTTTCTTTGGCATTTACCAAGGATCAAAAGGTTCCTTTAAGCTAACGATCAAATGAGCATCATATTATTCCTTCAAGTTCACAAGTGAAAATCAATTGTTTTCCAGAAAAAGTAAAAGGACGAAGTTAAAAGTTCTGATGATTATAACATCTGTAATATGCAAGTAGACTTCCAAATTAAAACCCTAAGTCCAATAGAGAAGCTAATTGTTCTTTGGGTGTGGTTTGTATAGAGCCGAAGCTCTAAATAATCAAAATAAAGCGCACCTTCCAATAGCATCAAAAAATGTGGTTTCAATACTAGAAATCTTTGTGATAGCTTCAAAATATATTTTCACATCAAATTATAAATTTCAAGCTTATAAAATAGTGTAGATCGAGTAGATATATGAAAACTTGAAAATCTTGAAAATTGATGGCCAAAAATGTATTACAAGATGCATTATTTTTAAAACTTGAAATCCATTTTTTTCTCATGTCCGTGCATCATGATGTCGAGATGATCAATTTGATGATATTTGGGAATCAAAACAACCTCTTTTAATGAAATTTTTGAGGTGCGATCTAATTTGATTATTTAGAGCCTCGACTCTATATAAATTTATTTCCTTCTTGGGTTATAGAGGGGCTGAGTGGTTAAAGAATTATCTCAAATTAGTGGGGAATATTTTGGGGAGACATTTAGATGGATGTGAGAAACGTCTTCTTGATTAGGGAAACCAATAGTAGGTTTATATGTATCATGCCGAGGGCTCCGAAGATCCCATGAAAATTTTCCACGTGTGCAACTTAAAAGAAGGTTTTTTAATGGCTTGAAAGAAACACTTTGAGAGTAATTCTGACAAAGTAAGATTTCTTTGACCCACAAGGGTCGATCAACTTATGGCTGATACATGCATAATTTTCGAGAAAATTTCGTATAGAACTTTAATTTCTAATATTATTTCATGGTGGACCTTTTTTTTGTTTTTCTTTCAAGCAGCACAAAAAAACCACTAAAGATTTCACTATACCCCCTCATCTCTTATCTCCATCTTTTATTGACTTTTGATTATAAAATTAGCCCTAATAAATCTTTTTATTCTATTTCAATCCAAAAACTTTTGTAATAGGTGAAAAGAGAAAGAGGGGTTAAAAACGTTTTTGGGATGAAATGATATAAAAATATTTGTTGGAGCTAATTTTCATGGTCAAAAGTCAATAAAAGATAGAGATAAGAGATGACGATGTACGTCGAAATCTTTAAGGATTTCTTTATGCCGCTTGAAAGAAAAATAGAAAGAGGGTCTATCATGATATAATATGAGAAATTATGAAATAATATGAAGAATTCAGGTTCTATATGAAATTTTCCCTATTTTTTTTTAAATAGGAATTCAAAACTTTATTTGAAGAGACCGTAAAGAAATTATAGAGTTGGAGACAACTATCAAAAGTACCCTTTGGCAAAAAACAAAATCTGTGAAGACATTGACTTCCCGATGTACATAGGGGATACATGCATATTATCAATCATTAGTTGGAGTACCCCTTTGAGATACATGCAAAGTATCCATCATTCTTCGGAGTACCCCTTTGGCAAAAAAAAAATCTACCAACACATTGGCTTTCTGATAAACATAGCGGATACATGCATATTATCAATCATTCTTCTTTCAAAGAAAATAGTTATTTGTGGAATTTAAGTTGATGATTTATCAAAAAGGATAGAAGCATCAGTAATGACATAAAAAGAAAGAAAAAAATAAAAAAATCAAGGAAAAAAATAGAAAAATCAAGGACTCTCTCCTAAGAAATTAAAATGAACGATTTGCGAGAGGTTCAATATTTTTATGAGATTGAAGTTACTAGAGAGAAGTTTGATGGACTCAAAACCGGTCTTAACATTGCTTGATGTAATAATAAGTTGTCAAAAAATGCTACAAATACCATATAAGATGTACACTTGCAAATATATGGTAGGTAGCGTAGCCACCCAACTAGACTTAGCAGGTCCATTTGAGATCATGAGCCTGTTCATCGTAGAGCTAACGAAATCCTAGCCTAGGGCATTGGCAATCTTCACCCCTTCTTCGTACCCTAGAAACCCTAGATCTAGGAAACTAAACCCTAAAAAGCCTAAATTTTTTTAAACCAACTTTTCAACCATCAATTCCAGCAAATTCCTAAAGAAAGAGAAGGCAAGGAGTAAATAAATCTGCTATCTAATACGGGTTTCCTATAGAATTTAATTAAGAGGATTAAGGGGATATTTGGGGATTTGAAGGCTTATTTTTGGTGATCTTCTATTTAAGATTACTAGGGCTTAACAAGTTTATTTTAGGTGTTATTTCTGATTTTACTAGAGGCAGGATTAGTTATTTACGTTTAAACTAATAATAGTTGGCTAGGACTAAAGAGAATGGACGACTAGGATTTCCTAAGAGCCTTTTAGTATTTCGATGATATTGGTACTGCAAGGTTTTAGGAGAAGATCCATATTTCTTTTGTGGATCACTTTAGTCAATAAAACTTAAGGTGATTTGTCATTGTTTTTGTTAGTTTTCTTCCTTCTCTACTGCTCTTTCCATAAAAATCTTGTTATTTTATTGAGTTTTTGTATATTAAGGTGCTTAATCAAGAAGAATCAAACCGTGAGAGAGTGTGAAAACAGAGCCCATCTGGGACAATTTGAATTGAATAAAATTTGTATGCCTACCTCAATTACATTTTTGTGTTTCTCTTTCTGCTCTGTCACGGATGAGTGACAAAAATCAGGCCCATCAGCAGTCAAAACTTTCACGATCTTTTCAAGCGTGGCAACAATGGGTCAATCTATCCTACTTACACGGTCTATGGTTCACCAAGCACTAAATGTTGCAGTAAAATTTTCAGTCTGGTCACCGAGCACTAAATGTTGCAGTAAAATTTGCAGGCTGGTCTGAAGTCACCAGTACTGACCATAGTTGCGAGAAAGAAGAATTGCCCCTAATTACCCCTGTTTTATGCTGCGCCACAGTTACAATCGTTTGTGCGTTTGTAAGCTTCCAAACCTGTTGGTTAGATCAAAAGCAAGGCTGCTACAGAGCTCAAGAAAGTGAGCCCCCTAACACCCCTATCTTCCATAAAGGAAAAACTGTACCCTGTATGTTTTCTGAAATCAGATATGCAAATAAGGACCTTAACTTCCAAACAAGAGGACCTTTCAACGTAGCATCAGCGAGGCTCATGGTGTCATAGCGCATGATGGTGATGATTTGGAGAACCTTTTACTTATAGCTGCCGTCCAACCAAAGTTCCATTCTTAATACTCTGCAAGGTACTCTCCCAACTGTCAACCATATCATTAACAAAAGTTCTATGTTCAGGCATTTTCACTTGCTGCTGACTTCAAACAATGACTACATAATTGTAAGAGACGGGCCCCAAAAAGCCATTTGATTATGCCTTGTTAATGATTCATAGGCACCAGGGATGAATTGGGTCTGGTCTATCTTCCTTAAATCTTGAGCATTTTCCCTGAAAATGTCTCCTCTTCTCAGTCAAATGCCAAAAGATGCCATTGTAGGAACAATCACAAGTTTTCAGGCTACATACATCACCATGAACAAACAATGTGAACCACCCACCACCAACCACTAAACCTTTACATATATAAATTTAAAACTTTTGAAGATGCAGGGTTTCCAGTTAGTGATACCATTAGTTGGGAGTTAGCCAATTGATGGGTGTTGCTGATTCCAATGCCGATTTCACAGTGCTAACTATGACTAGGAAGATTTACTTATGGAGTTCCAATAATACAACCAGTTGCGTCTCTGATGTGGCATAGACTCTAATTAGATACATTCCGAGGAGAATTTGATCAGTATAAAGAGGTAAGATCATGAAGGGTGACAGTCTGGCAGGTCAGAATTACAGAATACAGATATTTTGCACATAAAATTAAAGTCTCACAACAACTCAGAAAGCTTCAATAAATCCAAGTCTGTAGAACTCACATAGCTTTTATTCCTACAACATTGTTTTACACTATGGATTGCGTATTTTGCAATATATTGAGAGCTTTCTTTTGCCTCATTTTTGGTGTTGACATGTGTACATAAGAAGACAAAAAAAAAAACATGAATCTGCAAGTTCCCTACAATTATCCTTCTGATTTCCTCCTACTTGTATTTGATCTTTCACGAGTAGGAGTGGCAGGGCATTGCAGTTGGTCTCCACTGAAGATCCCCATATCGGAGGCATAAGGCCTAGAGAATAGATCCCCAAAGCCATTTCCCTCCAACCTGTAAATAAAGCATAGAATAACATAATATTCAAAATTTCAAATACTAATACAAAAAACACAAAGAAATCCTTAGAAGGAAAGAATCCAACTTCGGAAGCCTGTTGCAGTTTTGAGGAACCCAGCCAATCTGATGATTTTCATTGTCGTAAACTACCAGGTATCCATGCAGAGATATGTCTGCCAAGCAATTAAAAAACAAGTTTCACTTCTCTTTCTTTCACGAATAGGAAGAACAGGAACCTGAATCAGGAACCTGAATCAAGTAAAACTAAGGCAGTTTTTTATTTCTCATTTGTTATGATCATGAGTCATGGTGTTTTACCTCCAATTAAAATATGATCTAGCAACCCAACTTCACTGCCATTCAATATCCCCAAGCATACGTTACCTTGTGACTACAAAACAAAAGGAGATTGTTAGGTATAGTTTCCATGAGAGGGGATTCAGGTCAATGAAGTTTACTGAGTTTTAAAGAATTCAGGTGATCACCGTAATGATAAGGAAACCTTCAGGGGATATTTCAAATCGAGCTCTCTTGCCATTTTTGAAGTTCATTACAAGAGGTTTGAAGTAGCCCTTGATCTCAGAAAGAGACTTGAAAGCTTTGGTTCCTCGCCAACATAGGGGAAGCGTTGAATGTGGGCCGATGGGGAGTTCTTTCAAAGATGTTTTGGCAAGATCCTTCCTCAACTGATAATAATAATTCAAATCAGTTCAAAGGATTGAGAGGTGATAATTCATGGAGAGCGTATGAGTGTTCTTAGGAATATCTGTTTTTGTTATCCTTTTACTCACTCTTGATATGAGAGCTTGGTAAGCCAGAGAAGTGAAGTATGTGAAGGAGGTTCCACTGTCGAAAATAACATCAAAATATCTGTCACTTAGGACATCCCTACCAAATAGAATGTTTGCACATCCCGGGGAGTAGTATTTCCTGTAAATGAATCAAGGAGAAGTGAGAAATGTGGAGAGAGAGAGAGAGAGAGAGAGAGACTCCTATCTTACCTTAGATAACTCTGAGTCATGGGGACCCATGTCATTCCCGAAGAAGGAACCAGATCATCCCCTAAGAAGAGGTACCCCCTCCCAAGTTGGCCATCGATGCAATGGCCTATGACATTTCTGATTACACCCTGATTCCAAAACTGCGAAACAATGCCTGAATCGCTATTACGAAGGCCGAGAATTCCATCAGTGGTGGAAGTAGCCTGGGAACCTTGCTGATCATATCCACACCTGCAAAAGCGATGAGAGAGTGAGAGGGAGACAGAGAGAGGTTAAATTGAATTATTGATGGTCGACAAAGTGATGAGAGAGAAAAAATAAAGCTTCAGTTGAATTGAATTGTTGATGATCTATAACGGCGAGACACACAGAAAAGATGGAACTCAATAATTATTGATAATTTGTGTAGTAGAGAGGAAAGGAGGGGAGGAATGCGCACAAACCCAAATGCAAGATGGCGATGGATGAGGGAGCCATTGGTGATGCGTATGTGGAAAGAATCACGAACAAGAACACCAAGAGAGGAGCCATGATCTGCATATTCGATCTCATAATCACATTGTTGGGTAGGGTCATCGCATGGATAACTGCGTAGGGACTTTAGAGATATGCAGAGTGGGTCCTTGCAGGAGACCAACTTGTTCTTTGTTGGCCTGTAAAATGGGTGTGGCCCCTGAAAGCAAAGAGAGAGAGAGAGAGTCAGTAAGATCAAGGATGGGGAAGAAAAAGGGGGCTTGTGGGGTACCTTGGAGCAGCTGCGACAGGGGGCATCACATTGGAGCCATGTGAGATCGCTTCCAGTGTCCACATGGAGGAAATATGGCTTTGGAGGATTCCCAATGTCAATAGAGACATAATAGACCCTACAAAATTCAAGGTTAACTTACAAACTCAACTCTCTCTTCTCTCTCTTTTTCTCACTCTCGTGAGTGAACCCCAACCAACAGTTCAAAACTTGAAGAGAATTTTTCAGAACCAAGAAATAAAGAAATTGCACCACAAAAAGTAGTAGAATGGATTAGAGTGGCTGAAAAGTAGAATAGTAAAGAAATTGAAAATGGTGGGTTACAACATATGCAATTAAGGGCGAAAGAGACGCTAAGGAATGAGAAGATAGAGAGAGAACGGGGGATTGCAGAAGGAGGCGAAGTGAAATGGGTTTCCTTAAAAGCAGAATTTCAGAGAAACTACAAAAGAACTGCGAGGGGAAGGAGAGATTAGAAAGAGAAAGACGAGGGGAAGGAGAAAATACAGGCGGGGCAATACAAGTTCGAGTGAGAAACAGACATGGAGGAGGCAAGGGGTGGGGGGAAGAGAAGTTGTAATGACAGAGAGAGAGATAGAGAGAGAGAGAGAGAGAGAGAGAGAGAAAGCAGAGAGTTACCCAGTAGGATGAACATCGCCGACGAGGGGGAAGAGGAGGGTGGTAGTGGAGGAGAGTGTGCGCTGGTTGCGTTGGGAGTTAGGGCCAAGGTCGAGATTTCCTCCTCCCTTGAGAGCAGCGAGGCAGCCATGGACATGGAGGATGCCCACCAAAACCAGCAGTCCCCACAACCCCATCACTAGCCACCTACCAGAGAGCTCCTCCCACACCCACACACACTCTCTCTCTCTCTCTCTCTCAATATAGAGACGAATTCAGTCTTAGAGAGTTCAGAATCTAACCCCAAAACATGAGGAGTTGAGAGTGGGGCAACGTGCTTTTGTTCTCGGGAAAGGAAGGGAGAGTAATTAAAATACGGTGAAACAAGGGGCCAAGAATGAGGAATAAAAAGAATAGGATGTTATTCTCGGTAACAAACAACAGTAGTGCTGAAATAGGCAGAGAGTAATGAAGTAGCCAAAGTTAAGACTTTGAGAAAGAGAGGGATGCTTGGGACTAATGTTATTCTCGGTGAAGGAAGAAGAGAGAATAATATGAGGTTTTTTCCACTTCAAGGCAGGCTGGAGTCAATCCAAGAGAGAGAGACTTAGGGGGGAAAGGGGGTGGTATAAAGCTCAAAAGAGGTGTCTTGGTCGGTTTCTTTATTCCAAGGCATTGTAAGGCTAAAGATGGGGTGAAAGGCAAGCGATTCAATATAAGATGCCCCAAAGTTTCTTTTGCATTTTTCATTGGTAAATTCCTTGCTTAAAAGGCCTTTGCATCAGAGAGGATCTTTAAAAGGTCGGAATACTTTAATGAAGTTTAAATACATGGGCGTTACATTAGAAGGCCCAAAACGACATCCTGGTTAGGACTTAAGGAGTCCTGATGGCACCTCAAAAACCCAAATTTATTAAGCTCAAGGATCAATGTCATTAAAAAGTGCAGACAACCCAATTTCTTTTTCTTTTTTTTTTGACAAATAGCAAAGGATTTATTGATAAAGGAAGTTACCCAAGAGGGATTACATTAAGAGAAGACACAAAAATAGAAGATAAGGAAGCGCCATTTTTGGCAAGAGAGTCCCCTATAAAATTGGCTTCCCTAAAGACGTGCTGAAAAGAAACCCTGAAACCTATCACCAAATCAAGGATATGCAATAGAGATTTAAGTTCTCATGGTACGCGCTTGCCCCAAGTTATGACTATGAAAAAGCTTAATACCCTGAAGGATAACAACCATCTCTGCAAAGTTTGCATATGCTTCTCCAATAGTTCTTGCGAAGGAGAGAATCATAGAACCATTGGAATCTCGAAAAACACCCCCAACCCTTGCAACCCCAGGATTACCTTGAGAACTCTCATCAAAATTCAACTTTAGCACACCTTAATGGGGGGCGAAACCAAGCACTTCGAGACCTCAATCGGGCTAAATCTAGATCAAACATGTTATGAAGATGAAGCATCACATCAATCTCTAAGATGCCCCATCCCTCTTTTGTTGTAGCCAAGCCAACACCACAACGTATGCTTGATCTTAGCAAGTACTCTCTCAAAGGGTAAGCTCTGACCTTCGAAGATGCGCCTATTACGTTCCAGCCAAATCTCCCACAAGTTAACTCCCGAGGTAATTTTTCAAATAGCTTTGTCGATCTTAGGCAACCACGGAAACTAGAGATGAATGAGAATACCCAGAACATTCTGCAGTAAAGGTGTGCTGAACCCCAGAGGATGGACTGACTACCAGAATAACCGAAGATGGACTGACTACCAGGATAGTCAGTCCATACAAGAGGAAAAGCAAGAAGAAAGAGAAGCTCCACTTGTCTACACTTTGGGGCATTATTCCCTAGGCGGATTGCCTTGTTGACCCTCGTCAGCTTCAGCTTCACAGAGGCCAAAAGCTCTTTAACTCGTTCGACTTCTAGTCGATAGAAGTCGGACATATTCTGGTGATGTTCCACCTCTCTGCGGAGATGAACCACCATTCGCTTGAGGGCTTCAATTTTCCTAGACTTTGGGTCCAGTATAAGCTCGAAATTAAGAACCTCCTTCACGGGCATGGAGGCAATGTCAATAGCTTCCTCAGAAGAACAAGATAGACCCACAACAGTAAAAGTTGTGGAGTATTCTTTTTCACCATCAGCTAGGCCAGCAGCCATATAAGTATTAGTATGTTGCCCCTCTTGGCTCTCACTACCATGAATAGCGACAGTAAATTCTCAATATAGAGAGATGGAGAAATGCCTAGGAAGAACTAGGGAAGAAATTTTAGAAGAAAATGAAGAGTTGAATACCGTTAGGAGGATGGACTGACTACCAGGATAGCCGAAGATCTTTTCCCCGAAATGATGACGGCTGTATCAGGAAGTGATGTATGAGATGGTTATCCATTCAAGCGTGCACATGCGCTACCTTAATGAAGAAGGTGTAAGTTGTATGATGATTAGAAGTCCACCTGAGATTGGCCAAACACTACTCCCCTTTCGAGGTTTTCCTCTCTCATGTGTGAAGCGTCTGGGGTGGTTTTGTTGGGTGTACTTTTCTCACAAACAAGACTAGGTACACTGATCGAGTTGTTAATGACTCATACTTTTCCTTTGGAAAGCATGGATACTTACTCCTAATGAAAGATTAAGAATAAAACCATTTGGAGAGATGCAGTGAACTTACGGAAGATAAGTATGGTTCTCATCATTCAAGTGTCCCATGTTTGACTATGATCGAAGCATGACTTAGTCTATAGATTTCAAGAATAGGCCAAGGATTGTTTCAACAACAGTTTAAAGTAGCCTAGAGATGGCTTCACCCATCTCAGTTTCAACGGCAGTCTAAAGCTGCCCACAGATGGATTAACCCATCTTAATCTCAACGGCAGTCTAAAGTTGCCCAGAGATGGCTTAACCCATCTCAGTCTCAACTGCAGTATGAAGCTACCCATAGATGGCTTAACCCATCTCAGTCTCAATAGTAGTCTGAAGCTGCCCAGAGATGGCTTAACCCATCTCAGTCTCAATGGCAGTCTGAAGCTGCCCAGCGATGACTTAACCCATCTCAGTCCCAACGACAGTCTGAAGCTACCCAGAAATGGGTTAACACATCTTAGTCTCAACGACAATCTCAAGTTGCCCAAAGATGGCTTAACCCATCTCAGTTTCAACGATAGTCTAAAGCTGTCCAGAGATGGTTTAACCCATCTCCGTTTGCAAACAAAAGTCATGAACTGCCCGACAATGGCTTAACCCATCATCAGTATTATTGACTGACAATTCAAGCCTTAAAAGGTTTACGGATTATGCGGCCAATTGGTTATCGCAAGAAGGGGATTGTTTCTTCGGGCGTAAGAAATTCTCTCATTTAATCAATACCGTTGAACTCTAGACTCCTTGCCTTATCACCCTTAAAAGGTTAGCATGGATTGAGTTGAACAACAAAAGTGGCTACAGCCCACTAGCACAAACATTGATGATAATGATGAATCTTTGATTTACTCTTGAAAGATCAAAGGGGTTCAAAGGTTCGAGAAGCGTCAGCGATTGTATCTGTGAGAAAAAGCTAGCAGCGAGATCAACAGCGTAAGAAGATAAACACAAGAGGTAAACCAAAGATAAACACGAAAAGGTAAACCGCGTTATGAAGATAAAGATCGTGCCCTGCAAGATTTATGATTCAAATGAGTGGATAAACTCAAATGAGGATGTAGGGTGAAGATTTGGAGATGCGAAGTGTGTGGTTATCCGTAAATAACCATAATTTAGCACTATAAAAAGATGTACTTCTTGGTTGTTGAGGAGGTCAGACACAGTCTCGTAGAGAGATAAATAGTTCTTCAGAGGTTGTGTCTCAGTAAGAATCAAGAGTAGAAAAGAGAGTAATATTCAAAACGAATGAGAGAGATAATCATCTCCTACGATTCACTTGAGACTAGTTCGCTTTTGAATACCAGACTTGAAGGATAACAAGTACCTGCTTATTTCTACAGGTATATAGGCCGATATGCCCTCGACGTTATCTTTTCTCTTTAACATGTCTGTATTATCTTCATTAGAAACGAATGTATATATTTCAAAGTCAAAATCAAAGGTGTTATGCTTATTTTAATTCCTCAAAGTCGATGTAAATGTAATAAAGGATTAAACCACTGGATTTTCTCAGTACATAATATAAATAAGAAAGCATGTGTTTCTGATATGAAGTGCACATGTGAATTTGACCCTGAATGTGATGTCCTTTGGTTTTCCATCTGGAGTCTAATGTTTGTTTAAACATTCCACATTTCTTTTAACGCATCCACATTTCGGATCGACCAATCACACAAGAAAAGAGGATTCAATAATTATTACTTTTTATGTTTTATACACTTCTTTGATTATATTTTGGCTGTACGTTTATGAATATGTATGGAGTGTATGAACATTAGGTGATAAGTGCTAACAAATTTGAAAGAGCCAGTTTTTTACTACCGTATGTTTTTGTGCCTGCTTGTGCTTGAGTAAGAACTACTTAAGGTAGGGATAAATATGGAGATATGGTTTGATCATGGACTATAAGCTTTAGTATGAAACACAAGAGATGGGTGTGGCTCATTTAAATTTGTATGCACGAAGGGAGTATTCCGATGGAACTTAGTCATAGTGACCATCCTCCTAATAATGCCCAGTAATATAATGTATTGCATGTGATGATGATCTCATGATAAAGTCTCCATATTTGCCAAAAAGAAATTGTTTTGTCAGATTTTGATAACCATTATTTAGTCATATTTTATTTTGGATAAAATTATAATATGGACTTTATGATTTGTTTTTGTGGCCATAAACATGACTTGGTAGGTAATTAAAGGTGAATGTAGTAAAATGATTTATGAAGATTAAGTATGTATTTTTAATAATTAAATTTGAGAGAAACCTAAGTCTATGAATATGGTTTTGAGAAAACCCTCATGAAAAATCATTCTAATCTGCCATATTATTATCTAACTATTGCTTGTGAAAATATATATACCAAGTCAATAGCTTTTTGATAAAAAGGAAAAATATTGAGTCTTGAAGGTATTTATAAACTTGGGATAAAACTGTCATTTATTCATGCACTGGTTTTTAAATAGCCATATGCCTTGACCTATGCTTTCAGTTATTTAGAATCCTCGATTACATAATACGATGAACAATAGGAAATATCATAGGAAGTCCATCTTGGTAGGTTTTCTTGACATATATTATGTTGATTAAATAACTTGATTTGTATATATTTACTACTAAGAAGACTAGCTAGTGTGGCTGAACCTTTGTGGTTCAGGAAGGTTTTGCATATTGTGAAACCAATGGGCATTGAATTACTTATTGCATAAGACTTGCTGTACTACTTCATGATGCAAGCATAATAATGTTGAGAATGTATATGTTATATGTGCAATAATTGAGTAAGAGCTCATACAGTCCCACGATTCTTTTTAGCTGCTTGGTATTCAGATATACAAGTACTTTATCATGAAAGATCCAGATAAACTAATTATTCCAGTAGGAGTACCTGCTAGTGTTTGACAGGCCAGCTGGAACAATAGACTATAATGATGTTCACCCGTGAACTCCGAATAGGTGATGCTAGTTGTATGACTACAAAAGGAAACAACTTGATTGAAGAACTCCTTTGAGCCCTTGAAGATACGATCCTATGTGATGGTGGTATGTGATGATCTTCTATGACAACATGTCTATGATTCACGATGCGACATGAAAGATTGACTATGACCACTCTCGTGATGAAATTCGAGCAGCAAAGAGAAAGAGGCATTGCCTCCATAAATCATTTGTGAAAAGATTGATGGTGAAAGTCATGATTAATGTAATGAGAGAGAATAAGTTAAAATGCTTGAGAGAGAGATTGTAATTAGAGGAGGATCTGAAATTGCAATTCAAGGTTACTCGGATGCAAGTTACCTAGGAGATCCAGATGATGTGAAGTCCACATCTGGATATATGTTCCTACTTGAAGGAGGAACTGTTTCTTAGAAGTCAAAGAAATAAGATGTGGTAACACTGTCCACTATGGAGGCTAAGTACGTAGCATGTTGTTTGGCGGCTAAGGAGACCATATGGATTAAGAAACTTCTTAATCGACTAGACTTTGACCTCGTGCATTGTGAGGCAGTGAGGATTTTTTGCGACAATACGACTGCAATTTGTGTGTCAAAAGAGCCACGTTTTCATAAGAACTCCAAGCACATGAAGCATTGCTTCTATCACATGTGAAATGATGTAAGATTGTGAGCGATCGAGATTAGCTATATACCCACAAAGGTAATGATATCATACCCTCTTACAAAGGGGCTTGCGCCTAATGTCTTTGTGAGGCATGTGAGAGAGATGGGGATGAGAGAAAATAAGGAAGAGAGATGTAGATGAAAAAAAGTGAGGAAGAGAAAATGTAAGGCCTTCAAAGGCCAAGTGAGAGATATTTGGTATGTGTAGCCATTAAAGGCTTTATAAGTGCTTGAAATTGAGTTTTTGATATAATAGAACATGAACTCAATGGGAGTGCGGTCCTATGTGGACCATACTAAGAAAATGATGTTTGCTAATACCGGACTGAGCTTTACGAGGTAGGTCATTCGGTTAGAAAAATCCCATGTTAACTAGGCATAGAGATTAAACCGATAAGCGTTATAATGAGTCTTCCCTTGATGAGGACAGAGTATGAACTGAATGAGTGAGCCGAGGGATTGTATGGGCCTTATATGTGATGGAGGCCGTCAAAGACGGGAGCCAAAGCCTCATCTGCGTACCATCAAACAACATGCACATATGATAGCTATTTCAGAAAATCGACCCACCTGTATGGGTGAAGCTTGTGCATGTGCGAGAGCTTACCCCTATGCACCATAGAGTTGTGGTTGCATCAGGTCTAAATAACATTGATACATCTCCAAGAGAGAACCTGAAATCCACAAACTGTGATTACGATCCCTTACTCATTGGTTATACTTTGTTGACCCACTAATGAGCCCCTGCATAGTTTATGGGTCATGGGCAACACTAAGTTGATTTAAGAAAGCAAGTGTGAATCGTAGTCCATAGTAGAAGGTGGAGTGCCCCAATGTTTATTTATTTATTCCAAGACTACATGGATCTGTTTCCCATCAAAACTATTTTATTATATTTGTTTTAATGATATTTGATTTTTAGAATTGTTATTTCCTTTTGTTTAAATATCTCGGTATTTTATTTATAAAATTTAGATTTATAAAAGCAGAGTTATTGATTTTATATTGATTTAAATATTCAAATGAGATTTTATGAAATTCTAAAAATCATAATTTAATATTGCATGGGAGGCCCAATAGTACATATGGGCCTGCCATGGCAATTTGGTGGGCCCATGGAAGCCATCATATGGTGGCATGCCCCACCTCATTCACTTTCTATTTTATTGAACCAAGTTTGGTGGCTTGACGGAAACGATATTGTATTTTGGAAAGTTTGATTTTATGGAGTGTTTAAATCAAACTATAGAAAGTATGAGGAGGCTTGCACATGAAATTGGCAAGTATAATATTATTATTGATATTTTTATATTTGAATAATTGATGAAAAAATAGTTTAAAAAATAGGGGATAAAGGTTTTAGCACATTCCATATTAATGGTTTATCTATGGAATGGAGGGCCCATATCTCTCACCTCAAAAGTCACCCAAGATCAATAGTGCATATTCAATCTCACTAGAAGAGGCAAACCATGGAAAACCCCAAAAAACCCCAAACCTATTGAAGCACTATAAAAAAGGGTGCCCCATACCCATATCTCCTACACCTAATTTTTTTCTCCCTCTCTCTCTCCCATAAGCTAAAAGTGGGGCACGTCTCTTCTCTAGATTATATTAAGGGAGGAATGCCCCACCTCTTGAAAATACCTCTCTTGTATTGAAAAGGGGGCTCACCCCACTTATGATTATCTCTCATCTCCCATCTCTCATGGCCTAAAGGGTTAAGGGTTTAGTAAAAAGATACTATCTCTCTCAACTAGGTTATCAAATGGTTAAGCCTTAGTTTGAGATCTAAGTTTTGAAACGAGTTCTTGCTCCATTGGAGGGTTTAACCTAATTGCTTTCCCGTATTTGAGATTGAAGATTGATTAATGATCCCGCTCCATTGGAAGGTAGTGACTCAGTGTGGGGTGTAATAAGCCTGGTTGATGTAATCTCTGGTACTCTGTTTCTTATTTCTTGCCATGTTTATTTATTATATCTTTTGTTATTCTTGAGCATATTATTGTTGTTTTTTTTTATCGATATATCTTTTGTTATTCTCGAAGATATTATTGCGGCTTTCTTTTATCGATAAAATAGTGGTTTTAGTGGCATCAAGTCTTAGATCCTAGATTTGCTTTTTTTTATTGTTTTTCAATTCAATTTATTGTAATAGACTACTTGTTTTTTAAGTCAATTTATTGTAATGGACTACTTGCGAGTGTTCTAAGCCAAAAAAGAAAAAACAAAAAGAAAATAATAAGAAAAATAAATAAATAAACAAATATATAAATAAATAAATAAATAAATAAATAAATAAATAAATAAATAAATAAATAATATATATATATATATATATATATATATATACACTTTGGCTAGATCACATAAGTCCAACTTTTAGTTGCTACCTGACTACGCATAACTGTGCCCATGCTATGTGGCCACGTACTGTTGCACTCACTTCCGTCTTCATGGTGGCGCTCATACTATGGGTCTGGGCCGGTGCTGCCTGTGTGCAAGATAGGTATTTGGCCCTGCACATGTGTCCCCATTTAGGCCAGCGCAAGCACTAGTGACCATATGTGTTTGTGCATCCTAAGTAATTGAAACATAAACAAAAGGCTATCTTAAAGGGGACAATAGGAGAGAGTGATTTTTCAAATTCGTCACAACAACAGTGAGATCTAAGAGATCGGTTTTTGCATCGTCAAGAGGCGCACTCTATGGCACATGTGCCCCCATTTAGGCCAACGCAAGCACCAGTGACCATATGTGTTCGTGCTGAAACGTAAACAAAAGGCTATCTTAAAGGGGACAATCGAAGAGAGTGATTTTTCACATTCGTCATGACAACAGTGAGATCTAAGAGATGTTTTTTTGTATCGTCAAGAGGCGCACCTCTATGAAGAGATCCAAAAATGATTTCCTCATGGTTGAGAGCTGAATCTATATAAGAGGCTCTGATACTAATACTTGCTTGCTACGCGAGTCATGACACAGAAGAAATACAAAATTAACGGAACAATCATAAATGAATGTTATAGAGATTACATACTTTTCAAAGTCTCATCACCATTCCTAGGGACTTTTCTGCCCTTCACAGGCTCATATATTTCTTTTCAGAAATGAGAGATCAATGCATCCGACTGTAGGCCGGTCATTTGATTAGTAGATCCAAAACTTTAGTATAAATAGCGCAAATCCCCGAGCCTTCGAGAGCTCCTAACCCGAAAGCCAAATATCAGATCGCTTTTTCTCCCATTTTTAAGAGAAAGAGACAGGATTGGTGAGAGAAGGGCATATCCCTCCTCCATTTCATAATAAAGACCCTTACCCTTTTGTCAGCTTTCTGAATTTGATTGGATTTCTCTTCCTTTTTAATTTGAAAATGCTCTAGGTCCCTGGTCTTAGTTCTCCTCAATTTAAATGAGAATTATCATCAATCTCCTTAAATTTAGAATTGAATCAGAATTTCCAAAATCCCTATTCAAATCTTTTCTCTCTCGTTATCAATTCTAAACCTCTTCCAATCTTCCAATGGCAATATTCAAAATACCATATAATTCGTCACCCATAAGGGGTGGACCACCTAAACCAACAATCATTCAAATACTTCTAGTTTGATTAGAGTTGATCTTCCCTATCCTAAACTAGAATTGGATTAGGATATGCATACTGGATTAGAACTTCAAAAATCCTTATCCAGTTATATTTCTCTCCCATAACAATCCTAAAAATTAAGGATTAACTTCTCTCTTTCGTAGTTAATCCAATTGGCAACTGCTAGTCAGTCCATCCACTTGGGCAGACTCCCTCTAAACCAACATAATGCAAGTGTATTTTACAATGTGTTGACCAATAACTATGGCACCTTAAACATCATAACACAATGCACTCATCTTTCAAGCGACATGCAACTAAAAGAAGTAGCAATAGTTAAGACTCTACTAGTTTCTATTATAATCTAATTAGGTACATAGTCTATAATACTGTATTTGTTTGAGAATTAGTTCGTCATTAGTCTATAATACTGTATTTGTTTGAGAATTAGTTCGTAATGACATTTCCATACTCACTGATTATATCTGATAATGTAACATTTATTATTCATACATGTTGAAACCAAATTAACAAGAGAATTAGGATGCTGACCTTATCGACTGTCCAACTGACTCCCTAAATTTCCTCAGAAGAACTCTGAAATCCCCCTTAGAGAATGATCATGAAGAAAATAAATGCACAATTTTATAGCCATCTAGTTATTTTTCTCATGTCTATGTCCTAGTTGAAAGAATGGATTTCTTGTTTGTTGGGTCATTAACGCCATCAAGGTTAGACGAAATAAAAAACACCTACATATTTTCAAGTGCTTCCACAAACCTTGATAACGTTGTTCATTTTGTGAAGGTTGACCATCTGATTAAACAAAGGCAGGATCTGCAATGCTCATTCTTGGCTAGCCCCGCAATGCACATTCTTTGAGGAGCAAACTGAATATCCAAAATTGAAAACCACTCTCCGTACCAGCCACCTTGAACCTATCTTTAGTTACACTAAATAGGTAGATATACAAACTGGCAGATGTAAAGATTACAGACATGTTCATTTTGTTGCTTTAAGTCCTAAACAATTTGTATCATATACTCAAGTCACATCTGGAAAATACTTTCCAAAATTGTTACTTCATTATCGAAATCATGTAAATCATGGCTATAAATACACATAATTCTTGGAGCCTTTCCCCTAGTTGAAAAGGAACACGTGAATCTAAGGCTAGAAGGAGTAGGCTTGATCCCTAGGTTCAACCATCAGAAGGCCGTATACTTATGGATCAGGGGAACCAAACAAAGAAATTGACCACATAAAGGCAATATATGGTCTTGCATAAGTCATTTCCAATCTATAGGACCAAGCTGAAGAAATTGAGAAGAAAAAGTTCAACTTAAGAAACAGTCTGGTCATTATTCAACGGTTTACAACAACTGTGACTTGCAAAACAATCACCTCCTCGAGCAACTATCTCATATTTCTACCTTTTCTTTTTCAGGTAGGAAGAAAAGAGGCATCCTTGATTCACCATCCTAACTGCCTCTTCTAAACTCAAAGAAAAGGGTAATCCAAAACTTCACTGAATTTGTACACAGGGATATGAAATCATGGGGACTTGGATCCCACACATATTAATTAACCATTGTTTCTGTTTTAGGATAATAAAAGAATATCAGACTTAACTTTTTATGTTTTGCATGTATTTGAGTATTGATAATCTATTTGTGGTATTATGGATTATCTTTTATAAAGTCCTCTTGATTTTGTTTACGGTCAAATACAACAATAGTACAATGGTTCTATTTTCTTTTAAAGGAAGGGACTTATCATTCACCTTGTGAACCACAGTTCCTTTTTCTATGTGTATGTGTATTCTATTTAGTTAGTATCATATTGGGGAGATTGAGCCAAGCCTCACTTAACTAATGAATAGAGAAATCATGGCAATGAAACTGATGTTAGAAAATACCTGCCAGCAGAAATAAGGAAAGAAAATGATTCAGACGACCACAATACGTATTCAAGTCTCTAATAGTTGTTAATTTCTAAAAATCTACAGAACAAGATCCCACGAAAACCATGAAACACTGGGATTTTTTTCAGATTGAATGCATTTCTACAATCAGAAAGAGTTAAAAGTTTCCAATATCATCATACAAGCATCACAATGATCTTAACTATTTGCGACAGCATAATCCAATAACTTTATCCATGAACCGAAAGTAAGCATCACTCCATGGCCTTCTGATCAACAAAACTACATAAACTCCCAAGAAACCAAAACCAAACCCCAGGTCTACACTCAGACCAAACCATGGATTTTCAACAGTTTCTTGTTCACCAATGGGATGGTTAGATGGAACATTGAATTTGCAAGTTATTTGAACCCAAGGTACACATAAATTTGGATTCTCAGCAAAGGATGATTCTTCAAAAGTTGTTAGTTGACCTCCACTGGGGACTTCCCCTGAGAAGTTGTTAAATGATAAGTTCAAATAGCTCAAAGAAGTCAATCTTACCATCCCAGGTGGTATGACACCTGAAAGTCCATTTTCTGAGACATCCAAGGACATCAAACCTCGCAAATATGTTATCTTTTCAGGCAGCTTACCAGTTAAGAGATTCCCAGATAAGTTTAGAACAAGAAGTCCCCTCAAGTTCAGTAGGTCTTCAGGAATCTCACCTGTTAAACCATTGCGAGAAAGATCAATGCTTGTTACAAGGGAAAGAGTCCGGTTATATTCGAGTGATTCCCCTTTCATAGACACAAATAAGCTCTCCTCATAGTAGACTCCCCTGTACCGCCCATACAAGAGATAATGGTTGCTCCTCTGTGTTTGCATACTGGCCTTGAGATTTCCAATACTTGAAGGAATGCTGCCTGAGAGTTTGTTGTCAGCAAGATCGAAGACCTGAAGAGAACTTAGAAAGAAGAGTTCTGGGGGGGTTTCTCCCGTAAACATGTTCAATCTCAAGCGCAGTATTCTTAGGCCTGTAATGCTCTGTTCTATCCATGATGGAATACTTCCTGAAAACTTATTTTTGCCAAGATCTAGAGTTTCCAAAGCAGAACAATTCTTCAATGGTAAAGGGAAACCCCTTGAAAGATTGTTAGCATCCAGGTGCAAACTTTTAAGCTGGACTTAATGAATGAATGACAAAGGAATGCCTCCAGAAAGTTTGTTGCTTGACATATCTATAACTTTAAGATACGAGCAATTCCCAATGCTTGGAGGGATATTGCCTGTCAAATTATACCGTGAAAGATCAAGAACTTGAAGATACATCATGCCACCAATAGACATTGGAATGGGGCCTGTAATACGATTGTTAGAGAGGGAGAGGAAAATATTACTAGGCGCTGATTCTCCAATGCTAGAGGGGATTGGACCATGGAAATGATTGCTAGAGAGGTCAAACATTGTAAGATCCGATGATGGGATAGGAATGAGACCTTCAAAAAGGTTAAAGCTCAGATCAACATCTGCAAATGCATGGATCATGAAGGGGTTTGGCAGCTGCCCTTCAATCTGGTTGTTTGAAAGGTTCAACAGAGAAAGATTTGTAGAAATATCCCAAAACCAGTTGGGAATTGTATAAAAAATGCTGGTGTTCGAAAGATCCAAGTACATGACCTCTCTTTGGTTTTTAACCCAATTTGGAAACTGGCTACCCAAATTGCGCGATCTCATGTTAAGCTTTGTAACACGAAATGGAGGCACCCACTTTAAGCTCAAATTGAAAACCAATGAATTGGAAGACATGTCCAATATTTTCAGGTTGAGTAGGTCTCTAAAATGGGTTTCAGAAATTAAGCCTGTTAAATGATTTGAAGAGATATCCAAAACAGCCAGCTTGGAAAGCTGCCCCAAACTAGATGGCACATAACCATTAAGGTCATTCCCACCAAGCCCCAAAGTTTCTAGGGCTGTCAATCTCCCCATAGATAAGGGAATTTGGCCTTGCAGCTTATTATGGCTCACCTCAAGATCCACCAGAGTCTCAATCTGAAAGATCCATTCAGGTAATTTCCCATGAAGCTGATTATTACTCAACCACAAGTACATAAGACTTGGCATCGGATTCTGGGACTTATCACACACACCTATTTTAAGGAATTCAGCTATTTCTCCACTCATGCTATTCCCGGATAAATCAAGTCTTCTCAAGTTGCAGAGTTTCCCTATGGTTCTTGGGATCCCACCTTCAATTTGATTATCTGAAAAGTCCAGCTCAACAACTGAAGTCAAATTACCGATTCGTTGGGGTTGCTTCCATACACTAAATTTGACGCAAGATTCAGAGTTACAATCTTTCCCCAGGTTCCTCTCAAAAGCTCAGAAGAATCAGCAGTAAGATTGTTATTAAGAGCTAGATTTAGCTCTTCTAAATGTGGAAGTTCAGATAATCCACCTGGAATGGGACCAAACAAACCACTACTACTGATATTTAATGATACAAGTCCACTAATATTGCCCAACCAAATTGGTATCTTTGAATTCAAGCTGTTTAAACTAAGATCAAGGATGTTAAGAGAGGTCAAATTAAGGATGGGTAGAGCCTGGTTTATGTCAGTTGGGTTACAACCTGATAACTGTAACTCAATAAGATGGGGAAGCCTGCTGATGAATTTTACCGAGTCCTTGTCCACAATTGAAAGGTCCATCCCACTCATCAGAAGTTGATTAAGGCTAGAAAGACCTCCAATCCACTCAAAGCTATCCACTGTCAAGAAAGAGAAACCCCGCATGAGATCGAGAGACCACAAACTAGAGAGGTTTCCCAGCTGCCATGGTATGGTTCCACTGAACCCAGCTCTAGAAAGATTTTAAGTACCCCAATTCTCTTAAAGAACCAATGAATTCTGGTATGGGGATGTCTTCAAATGTGTTAAGACTCAAATCCAAATGTCTAAGAAATTTCAGTTCCAGTAATGAAGAATTTACCTGCCCACTCAAGTTCCAAAACCCGTGAGTTTCAGCATCGTTTGGATATGGGTTACGAAGGTCAAGTTTGATGACATTTCCTGATCGATTATCACAGCTCAATCCTCTCCATCTGCAACAATCGGGTCCTTGCCAAGAAGAAAGCCGATTCTCGGGGTCGTTAAGGCCATCTCTGAATCTGATAAGTGCTTCTCTCTCTACTTTCAAACAACCCACCTCTGTATCTGCTCTGCAAAATGAAATTTCTATGCAAATTGCACAGATAAGCCCAATGAGCAGAGCATGGAGTTTGCACCCACAAAACTTCCCCATTAGCTCCCCAAATTCACAGAGTAAACACTTCTGATCATAGAGGTTGATAAGAGATCAATATTGCATTTCTAATTGCTTACACAGGAAGTAACCTTGAAGAATTTTTTGTTTGGTAAGTCAATAAAGGAGAAGCTCCCTAACCGTTTTTGTGGTAATATTTTAAAATAAAGACGGTTGAAGGTTTTTATTTTTATTTTTTATTTAACCCTCGGGACAAATCATGAAATAAAGCGAGACAAATGAAGTTTCGCAAGGAACGCTGAACAGTGATCAAATCATGAAATAAAACAGGAGAAATGAAATTCGGCAACAAACTCTAAACAGTGATCGGTAAAAGAGACTGGCCTCACGGAAAATGCGGAAGGACCATCTATGTTTAATTATTTAAAGAATTTAGATTAAGAATATGGCAATGAAGCTTGAACGTTGAATGGATTTGCATTATAAAGTTATTATTATTATTTATGGTTAAGATGGAACAGTAAAGACAAAGAATGAGGAGCTATATAGTCAACGACACCCTCTGCCTTCATCCTTTTTTCCATTTTAAATTTATTAGGGCGCCATCTTCCAATTGGCTCATTTGAGAGTTCATATTATTAGCGCTTTTGTTGACTCGCCTCATTTATAAATGCTAAAAGATTTCCTACTTTAGAGGGAGTATACTATTCCTTTATTGTTTGGGTATAACACATGCTAAGAGTACTTTTTTTTTAGATCTCAAATTTTGGGGATGTATTCTACAAATCAATCTTAATAAAAACAATTCCTAGGTAAACTATTTTTATACCAAAAAAACAAAACTTCAAGAATGAAAATAAAATTCAAAACTCAAATTCTATTTTTGAAGGGCTAGATCTAAGTGTTTCAAAACTCAAAATCCAATTTTTTTTTCTTTTGAAAATAATCATCTAGCAATTCTTATATGGTTCCCAGAATTTTAAACTAAAATAATCTTCCTAAATTGATGTTTTGCATGAGGGAGCAGTACCACAGTATGCTCGTAAGGGAGCATAGGATACATGTTGGAAATGAATCAAGGAAAATTACAAACTAGACTTTGCATGTAAGTTACCCCAATCAAACTTTTTTCTTACTTGTTTTCCCCAAAATACACTTTCTTAACAAATATCCCCAATCTAAAAATAATAAAAAATTCTAAACTACCCTCCCTTATTTTTACTCACGCCTCTCTCTCTTTTTTCCCCACGAAAAGGCGGTCCGACAAATTCTTAGGGCGGTCTGATAGTGTAATGTCGGAATGGTAAATAACAGAGGCAGTCCGACAGTACAAGTGGCGGTCCGACACTGACAAAGCGGTTCGACAATAGGCCCATGTAGCCCGGCTACAGGCCCATGCGGTCCAACAACAGACCCAAAGTGCGGTCTTGCAACAGATCTGAAGTGTGGTCTGGCAATGTCAAAAAGCAGTCCGACACTTTTCATAGTTTAACAAGGTCTGGCAATGTCAAAGAGCGGTCCGGCAGCCCATGTGAGCCCATGTAAATGTCCGACCAAAATTAAATTTTTATATACAAAAAAGGATATTTTCATCAAAAAAATATACTTTTTTTATTAGGTTTTGTTAAGCTACACCACTTGGTGGTGTATACCCTTAAAGTCCTCAACATTTTTAAACACGTAAATACCTTTGAATTGTAATACGAAATTTTCAAATAGGGGAATTTTTTGTCATTTAGAATGGTAGAATGGATATTTATATAAAAAAATAGTGAAATTCTATTAATAGTTAAGAAATAGTTAATGCATCATGTGACTGATGCCGCTGTCCACTGTTGTTAATAAATGCTTTTGTTTCTATTAGAAATTTCTACTTTACATTTGACTAATTACTTAAAATACCCTTAGACAACAAGTTCCTACACTAAAGGATAAGGGTATCTAAGTGTCCGAAAATGTTGGGGACTTTAAGGTATGCGCCACAAGTGGTGTAGCCTAAAAAAACCCATATATATATATATATATATATATATATATATATAGT